AGCATGCGTTATGATGTAGGGGAAGGGTAGGCAGACTGTTCAGAACATCCTTCCATATCAGAAATTTAGGTTGCAATAAATGTAGGCAAAGTGTTGCACAAGTTGTATTCAGAGATTTTAACAACTGCACACTTGATCCACTTGCCTTCCGGAAGATTTACCCCCCCACCATGACCAGGCCATTTTTTGCTATTCGGCACTGTGCTATTTCAACTGGTAATTGCGTGGTTGTGCAATGCTGCACCCAAACAAAGTGTACGTCCTTTTTTTCACACAAATAGAGCTTTCTTTTGGTGGTATTTGACCTGCGGTTTTTACTTTTGGAGCTATAAACAAAAAAAGACCGAACATTTTGAAAAAAACACAACATTTTTCACTTTTGGCGTTAAAAAAAATTTCCATTAAACTCAAAGTTAGTCATAAATTTAGGCCAAAATGTATTCTGCTACATGTCCTTGATAAAAAAGAAAAAATCCCAATACATTTATATTAACCACTTGCCCTCCCAAGAATTTACCCCCCTTCCTGACCAGGCCATTTTTTGAGTTACGGAGCTGCGTTACTTTAGCTGACAATTGTGCAGTCATGCAACGCTGCACAAATTACATTTACATCCTTATTTTTCCCACAAATTGAGCTTTCTTTCGGTGGCATTTCATTGCCTGTGCAGTTATTTTTTTGCGCAATAAAGAAAAAAATAAGGTGACAATTTTGAGGGGAAAAAAAAAACAAAAATATTTTTGACTTTTAGCTATTAAAAATGTCCAGCAAAAAGAATCAAATTTCGTCATAAATTTACACCAAAATGTATTTATTCTGCTACATGTCTTTGGTTTATTCATTGGTTTACGTGAAAGTTATAGAGTTTACAAATGGCGGTATATATACAGGAATTTTTATTTTTACTAGTAATGGCAGCAATCAGCAACTTATAGCGGGGCTGAGACAGACTGGGGGGGAACTGACTTGGTGTCACTGACATCCCCAGTGACACCAATACAGTGATCAGTGCTAAAAAAAAAAAAAAAAAAAAAAGCACTGACACTGTACTAAGGGCACTGGGCAGGAAGGGGTTAACATGAGGGGCGATCAAAGGGTTAACTGTGTGCAGGGAGTGTATTACTTGGGGGCCGTGTCAGTGTGCTTCACTGTAATCGCACTGCTCTGGATGGCTGTGCAGGGAATTGCTATCACAGGGAATATAAATAATACCTGTCAATGCCTATTGTAGCCACAGGAGATTTTTTTTTTTTTTTTTTAGAAATCTGGGGTCTATTAGACTCTAGAGATCTCCTCTGCCCTTACATCATCTGATCTCACAAAGATCGGTATGACCAGATGCTTTCCCAATTTACAAAAGGCGCTGTTAAAGTCCGGCGAAACGGAAATGATGAAATGCTCGTAGCTTCTGGTCTCTTAGACCATAGAGATGATTGGAGCCATTTTGGTCTCTGATCAGCTCTATAGGCAGCCAGCGGAACTGCCAGCTGCATTCTTGGATTCCCCTGTGAGACAGGAGAGCCCAAGAAAACTGTGGAAGGCGGCAGGAGGAGGGGGGAAATGTCCCTTCCCGCTGCTTGTAAAAATGATTTAGCAGCTAATTGGCCACTAGGATTGCTTTTACATGAAAGCCGACCACCAGCTGAAAAAAACGATACCAAGAGGATGCCTGTAGCTGCAGGTATCATCCCGGTATAACCACTCAAGGTCCAGCGACGTACCAGTACATTGCTGGTCCATGTTGGGCATATATGTAACAGCAGAGAACATGGACATACAGTTGCAAGAAAAAGTATGTGAACCCCTTGGGATTACATGGAGTTTTGCATGAATTGGGCATAAAATGCGCTCTGAATGTCATCTAAGTCACAACAATAGAACACAGTCTGCTGAACATAATACTACACAAACATTAGATGTTGCCATGGTTTAATTGCACATAACATGTAAACATTCACAGTGCAGGGAGGAAAAAGTATGTGAGGCCCTAGCTTAATGACTTCTCCCAGAGCTAATTGGAGCCAGGAGTGAGCCAACCTTGACTCCAATCAGTGTGATGATATTGGATGTGTTGCTGACAGCTGTCCTGCCCTTAAAAAACACACACTTGTTTTGGGTTTACTGGTTTCAAGAAGCACTGTCTGATGTGAACCATGCCTCGCAGAAAAGAGCTCTCAGAAGACCTACGATCAAGAATTGTTGACTTGCATGAAGCTGGAAAGGGTTACAAAAGCATCTCCAAAAGCCTTGATGTTCATGTGTCCACGGTAGGACAGACTGTCTACAAATGGAGAAAGTTTAGCACTGTTGCTACTCTCCCTAGGCGTGGTCGTCCTGTAAAAATGACTGCAAGAGCACAGCGCAGAATGCTGCATGAGGTAAAGAAGAATCCCAGAGTGTCAGCTAAAGACCTACAGAAATCTCTGGCACATGCTAACATTTTTGTTGACACATCTACAATAAGGAAAACATTAAACAAGAATGGAGTACATGGGAGGACACCACAGAGAAAGCCATTGCTGTCCAAAAAGAATATTGCAGCACGTTTGAAGTTTGCAAAAGAGCACCTGGATGTTCCACAGCACTACTGGCAAAATATACTGTGGACAGATGAAACCAAGATTGAGTTGTTTGGGAAGAACACACAACACTATGTGTGGAGAAAAAAAGGCACAGCACACCAACATCAAAACCTCATCCCCACTGTGAAACATGGCGGAGGGAGCATCATGGTTTGGGGCTGCTTTGCTGCCTCAGGGCCTGGACGAATTGTTGTCATTGATGGGAAAATGAATTCCAGAGTTTATCAAGACATTTTGCAGGAAAACGTACGACCATCTGTCCACCAACTGAAGCTCCGCAGAGGATGGGTGATGCAACAGGACAATGACCCAAAGCATACAAGTAATTCAACAAAACAATGGCTGCAACAGCACAGAATACGCCTTCTGGGGTGGCCCAGTCAGAGTCCTGACCTCAACCCGATTGAAATGCTGTGGCATGACCTTAAGAGAGCTATTCACACCAGACATCCCAAGAATATTGCTACACTGAAACAGTTTTGTGAAGAGGAGTGGTCCAAAATTACTCCAGATCGTTGTGCAGGTCTGATCTGCAACTACAGGAAACGTTTGGTTGAGGTTATTGCTGCCAAAGGAGGGTCAACCAGTTATTAAGTCCAAAGGTTCACATACTTTTTCCTCCCTGCACTGTGAATGTTTACATGTTATGTGCAATTAAACCATGGCAACATCTAATGTTTGTGTAGTATTATGTTCAGCAGACTGTGTTCTTCTATTGTTGTGACTTAGATGACGTTCAGAGCACATTTTATGCCCAATTCATGCAAAACTCCACGTAATCCCAAGGGGTTCACATACTTTTTCTTGCAACTGTATGATGAATGGTATCTGTGGAACAATATGACCGCAATTCATTCTTTTTTGTAATGCCCATGTTGAGGTTTGGCCCCAAAAAGTTTTAAATTCAGAAACCTTAATAGGTTTCCATGCAAATAGCCTGGCAAGAGCTGAATTTGGGTGGGCGGGGATGTACTGTTGTGCATATAAATTGCCTTGGCCCACAATCAATTGGTACAAATCTTTTGTGAAAAATAGTGGAGGGGCTAAAAACACTAGTGCTGGCAGTGAACAGGTCTGATCCAGCTAACTCTGAGTTTTTGGGGACAATATACAAAGCAGGCACTAGTATGGTTCGGTTCATGATCATTATATTGATCCGTACAAACACTATACTAGTAATGGGGGTGATCAGCGACCTATAGCATGAGTGCATAGTGTGCGGGAAATCTAACACTAACTGACCCTGGCTGGGAGGGGCGCTAACTGACCCTGATGCTATCTGATGTCGCTAGTGGCAGGAATACAGTGATCAGTGAAAAATTCTATATACTGACACTGGCACTAATGGCACTGGCTGGGTGACGGGGCGATCAAAGGGTTAAATGTGCTAATCAAACGATTGTGTGTGTGTGTGTAAAATGTAGTGCTTTTACCCAGTGCAGTGTTCTTTCTTCTCTCCCTGGACTGACCGAGGGGGCAGCAGGGGGCACAGGCGCATTCACACCCTGTAACAGGAAGCGACGTAAGATTACGTCGCTTTGCCCAGATCCGCTGCTCGCCCGCAAAATATGGGTAAGCAATTGGCAAGGTAAAAATCAAAAAAAAAAAAAAAAAAAAACCTTAAATTTTTTTTTTTTTTTACATTCTCAATGGTTTTTTTTTTATTACTTTTATCAGAATAGTACAATGTTACCATAGTAACATTGTACTACTGTGGGGGGTGATCAGGATTTTTTTTTTTTTTTTTTTACACTTTGCTTTGCAGGAGAAATAAAGATCATTTCTTCTGCAATGCAAAGCTTGCTGTTATGAATCTAACGCATTCATGAACGGTCATGAATGAGTTAGGTTTTTGACAGTTCAAGATAGTGATCTGTGATTGCTGGTCACATGGTACAGGGTGCTGTGATTGGCCCCATGTATCATGTGACAGCTGTGGGCCAATAACAGCTCACTAGGAAGAGAAGTAGAGCTGTTAAGAATGAGACTGATTCATAACAGCTTTGCTTACATTGTGATCATGTGATTGCATAGCGATCACATGATCACTGGGTCCCATTCACCAGGATCTTCATTCCACTGTGTCCGCCAGACACAGAACTTACGGGAGGGGGAGTGTTAGTGCAGCCAGAGCGACATACGGGTACGCCACTTTGCCTGCAGCTGCCTTTCGGACACAGTACATTGCAGGCAGGCAGGAAGCGGTTAAAAACATGTTAAGACCACTTGGTCAGTGGTAATAACCTGCAACACTTTATTTTTACAACACAATGCTACAGTCTACACAGCATAGTGCAATACATAAAAAAGAAGCAGGCTTCGTTGTCATTCAGCTCCAAACTCAGGAAAATAGTGCAAAACCAACCCTGCACATGGCTGGAAAAACTGTTCAAAGAACAAAAAAATTGTTGATCTTACATTTGCCCTGGTTTTCCAGAAGGTTCCTCCTCCTCCTCCTCCTCCTCCTCCTTCTCCTCGGGAACATCTACAGGTTTTTGCTCTTCTTCCTAAAAATAAAGAAATAAAATCTCTAAATAAAGTTTTCAAACACTGTGGAACTGGTGCAGTACACGCAGTTATACAAATCCATTTATTAGGATTTCAGTATTTTAAAAGACCCTGGATGTCTCCCCCGTGCTCCACTGAATGTAATACAGTGCAGATTCTTTCCTGGGTATGCTGGCCGGTGACATTGAAAGGCAGACCCAGAAGTGCCACCGTACACGACACTTCCTGGGTCAGCAAGGAGGGGGAAGAGACTCAGTCCCTATGCCTGCAGATGCGCAAGCAGAGCCATGATCCTGGTATGGATTTTTTTTTCAGCTAATGATCGACTTTCTTGCAAAAGTGATCCGGGTGGCACTACAGCCACCCATCACTTTTACGGTGCTCCATTGCCTCCCTCCCCACCTCCCGTCTCTAAGCAGTCGAGTTGCCTGCACACAGAGAGACGTAGGAACAGCTGTTCCCCAATCTACTCCGTGGTAAAATCAGAATCTACAAGGATTTCATCACTTACAGTTTCAGTGCGGTTTTTTCTATTGTTGATACAGACAGGGAAACCTCTAAATCAAAACACAATCTATGTCTGCTTAGATGCTTGGAAGGGCAGGAAAGACATCAGGGGTCTGAAAAAAGGTTACCTGTCACTGTTCAAAGCTATAACAAGAGGTCTTGTTAACTCTTTGTGATAGCAATAAAAATAACTTTTTAAAAAGTGTAAAAAAAAGGTCCAGCCCGCATATGTTAAGGGTGATTGCAGCACACGAGAGGTACCACCATCAACGCCAGAGCAAAAATCATCTGTAAAAGTGTCTACTGTTAATTTTTTTTTAGCAAAGTAGTTTGTCAATATTTTACAGCATGCGCAATTTTAAAGGGTAACCACTTTTGTGTGGGGAAAAAAAAACAAAAAAACAAAAACAGATATTAAACAGGGATAAAAATTCAAAGTCGCCTGTCCATACTGCAAATGCATCAATGAATCTAAAATAACAGACAATACCATGTAAAAATCTTTAGCCTTGTTTAAAATCTATTTAAATTACAACTTAGACAATGGGAGGTTCAACGGATCCATCGTTTGGATACATTAACCCCTAAGGGGTTAAATTCACATTTTGATCTGTATTTATTTCTTTAAAAAGTGTGTGTGTGTGTGTGTTTTCCTTTTTTTATTTTAAAACAAAATGTGTTCTTTTGTTTCTCCCTGACAGAGTTTTCACTCTCAAACACATTTATTAGAAGATGCTTGTCTGATGTGTATCCAGTATGTGGTTAATTATATAATTGATTCCAATTATGAGGTCTGTATAAATTGATCATACTGGTATTTCTCACTTCAATATGTGTTCTGATCTGAAGGAGGGAGTTAACATAATAACCTGAAACTGTTGAACACTACTATGAATGGCTTTGTCCATTTTTGATCACTCTTTTGTATGGTGATTTTTCTGCATTAAAAAGGTCTTTTATGTGTAGCAATCCATTTTCGTATAAATTTACTATACAATTCTGACAAACATCATATTGTAATGAAAAGTTATTAATATTTACCTTTCCTTTCTAATCTACAGTGCTGTAACACTCTGTAAAATGCAATGCAATATGGCTACCTGGAGGCCTTCTGTACAGAGATGGTATATGGAATGCTCTGCCCCCCCGATCTAATTTCCTGATTATGTGATTGGCCCCCTGATTTTCCCAAAAGTATGCACTAAAATACAAGTCGACTTTTGGAATCCCCTGCAACAAAAATGTCATTTTTGGCGAGATATTCCCGAAGGGGAATTATGTCTAAAGGGATGCAGACCCTGCCACTTTCCTCAGAGACCTAGAAACTGAGCAGCTGATTCAGAATTATGAAATCAATCCCACCCAGATTTACTCTGCACACGGGCAGAGAAAAGCAAACAGTGATTTGGGAATCTGCAATAAAAACTTTGTTAAAATCCCTGCAATGTACACTGATCACCCAGGGGGGAATGTTTTTTTCTAAATAAAAGTGGAGTTACTCTTAACAATTTTTACATATTTATCTATTTGCTTGATGCAACATCCTTATATTTGACAAAAAAAAGTGGGTATTATATTGTGTTTGTATGTACCTAAATTTATTTAAATGCGTTTTGCATAATGTTTGATAAAGGAGTGTGTAAACATTGTTACATAAAAAACAAAACAAAAAAAAACAAAAAAAAAAAACAACGCTATTTTATTCTCCAGGGACTCTGCTTTCAAAAAGGTATATAATATTTGTGGGTTTCAAAGCAAACCCCACAGGTTTTAGCATGTATATAAGAAATGTAAGAAATGCCCCAGACAGCAGGTGGTTATAAAGGGGATTACCTCTGTTTCATCACCTAGAACATCTTCCTCATTGGGCTCTTCTTCAGCTGTAGGGTAAACAAGGAAATTTTACATTTTAAGACAATGTTCACATTAAATGCAGAATGGCAGGCAGCATTTTCTAAGTGTTAGAATAGAACTACATGCAAAACTTTTTTCATTTTGGATATAAAGTAAAGGGAGAGTTTTGTCAGATCTTTTTTACCATGTGTAGCATTGAGACTTTTTGTCACTTCCTGTTCCATAGCCAGACAGGAAGCGAGAGGAAATCCTTGCAAATTAAGGGAGTCCCTTCAGGTCCCCCAGGTCACCAAGAACTAATGTCCCCATTGGAAGATTTCCTCTCCTTTCTGGGGACAACCTTGAGGATTGAACAACTTGGGATTTTCATTTACTTTTGCTTTCAATGATAATGGTAAACAGATCAAATAGTGAGGATGAATCTCCCTAAAAGAGGCAACAGATAGCAATAAAAATCTAATAGATTTTCTAATCCACCCAAAACAAAAAAATTTGCCCTTAGTAATACTTTAAGCAATATCGGCCTCCATGTTTGATGTAATTTGTTTTTTATGAATAGATGTTACTCAAAAAAGGCTTACTAACTTTAAAGATCTAAAAATATACTGCATACACACCAATATACAAATGCATGTTACTGCAGGGTAAAGCTACATGTTTACATTTATGTTGGCTCCTGCAGCTGATTATGCTCACCTTTTCTATGTTCTAGATCTGCTCTGAATATCAAATCAATATTTCATACTTCCAGTCATTCTCTTATGTTACAGTTCTGGGGCTGGCCACTCAGCCACTCTGAGCTATTTGAGGGGAGAGAAAGGAGAGTCCTCAACCCTATCTAAACTCCAAGTCAAGTGGCAAGGTAGCAATGGGAAGGCAAGTGTCAACAGCTACGGGGGTCAGCATTAAAGTGTCATTGTTGGTGTCACCTGCATGGGTAGAAGTGCAGATTTACTTCTAGCAAAAATATTCCACAATCATGAATATACCGTCCATTAGACACAAAAAGTTTTAAGTCAGTAAAAAGAAAAGTGATTTCTGTGACCAAAGACTTAAAAAAAAAAAAAAAAAAACCATATGCTACCTACCAATACCAAAAGCATGTTACTGAGCTTACTCTGTAATGAAAGGCAAACAGCATTGTTGATATAAAAGTGAAGCAATCCAAAGCAACTAGTTTTCAGTTTACTGTAGTCAGGTCAGCTAAACCTTTGATTGCAGGTTACTGCAATTAAAATGAAACTAAACCCAAAAAAAACAAAAAAAAAAAAAAAGTAAAAAATATTCAGGTTACTAGTCCTTGCTGTTATGGCTGCATTTGCTTTATTTCCTCATTCCTCTTATTTTTACCTGGTAATCCTGCAAATACCACAATTTCTGTCCCTGGGTGGCTACATCACTCTTCCACTGTGTCTGTGGAGGGAGCCATGGCTGTGCTCCTGGTATGGACTATAAACAGGGTTATATTTCCTAATTTCCATTATATGGGAGGCAGGGCAGTTAGTAGTTTTCAGAAGATAGCTAAGAAGGAAGATACTCTTCTGTGTAGCTCACAAGAAGCAACAAGGACAATGGGTATTTTCTGTACTTGAGCATGTTCTTAGCTTAGAAAAAAGAAAAAAAAACACGTAAGGCAGCCACCACATCCAAGGACTGTAAGCTGCAATATATTAAGTTATTCTTTTCCTATTTTAAACACATCATCAATGTCTTACCGAATGAGCCTAAATTAAAAGTTTCCCTGTACTTCCAATGACCATAATTTTTTTTATTATTATAATGCTTACCAAAATGGCTCATGGAAGTAAAGTAAATAAAGCACATTTCTCCTACCACTCTAAGAAAAAGGTCACCTTATGTTTATATGGTAATTTGGTAGAGAGAAATGGAAAACCCAATAAAGATTCTTCAGAATGTGCCAACATTGGTGCCATAATCAATGCAAAGGCTTACTTCCTGAAAAGTAACTTTTGTCTTACTCTAAACAATAAGAGAACTGGAAAAAAATGAAAAAAAAAAAAAAAAACTGCAGAAAAGGTAATGTATACCAGGCAACAAAACAATTCAAAAATTACACAAAGCTTTAGACAACAAAATGGCCCCTTGAGATCTACAGACTTACACTTCTGTATTTGATGGCCATATCTTTCACATAAGATCTTTTCTTCAAAGATAATTAAAATATATAATTCCATGAGATAGAAAAAACATGCTGTGAAGATGGACGCAAAAGGTAGATTTCTTTTGAAATACCCCAAAATAAAACATTTCTTTAAAACAGGCCTGCAAAATGATTGACGTAATATCCATAGAAGTTAGAGTACCCCAATTTTATTTAGGGTAATTCAGTTTAAATACAAAACATTTGCAACAAAGTCATGGCTTTTGATTTTTAACATCAATATAAATGAACAGAAGTTGAGCTTTTCCAACCGTGTTCCTCTAGAAATGCTTGAAGCCTGCTGATCAGGTCACTCTTATTCCCTTTCACGTCCAAACCTCGGGCCAGGCATTCTTGTTTGAGCTCTGCTAGCTGCAGAATTAAGAAAACACAACAAAAAGAAATGTGAAAACTCAGCATTATATTCAGCCATATTTTACAGTACAGTACAGTCTAATACAAATGAGTGACAGATGTTTTCTAGTGCAGTTTCTTAAAGTAGAATTCCACGTAACTCCAACTAGCCATAAAATGCTCCCTCCCCCTTCCTAACACCTATGCTGACTAACCTGTGCAAAAACACGTATGAACAGTACTTACCTATTTTTAACCCACCCCGGTCTCGTGATCCACTGGTGACAGTTAGTGACGGCTGCAGGGAAGAGGAAACAGTGCTCAATGTCTGGGAATGCCTGGAAGTGGTGGCGTCACGCACAGGACATAACTTTCAATAGAAAATGCACTGTTCGCTCCGTAAGTTGTCGACTTCAAACCAGCTGGTCCCACAGTAACAGGTTACACCCTGAATATAGGTATAACCAGTTATGAAAGGTGCACTTATCCTTTAAGACCCTATACACAAACAAAAAGGTGGAAAGCCAAGCACTACCTGAAAATACAGAACCATGTGTGTTTTGAATGCGGTGCGGGAAAAAGTGCACAGAATGTGGGTTTCCCGAACCGCATTCTAGTGTGAACAAGCCCTAATACTAGACAGCAAGTCTCCAGAAGGGAACCACTGTCAAATCACTTTAGTGGGGTGTGTCATTCTGTGACAGACCAGCAGTCCCCTAGACAGTCTAAAGCCAGCCACAAATGGACTGAAATTCAGTCAGTTCAGCAGGGACCAGCCGACTTTCAATTCATCTATGGCCTGTCCTACTGATCAACTGTTTAGGAATGGGCTTGATGGAAAACCTTGTCTTGCTCAGTGCTGGTCAGTGTGTTCTGATGGTGAAGATGTACTGCTGACCCCTGTCAGAATGCAACGACACAACAGGGAGGATTCCCACATCCACCTCGAATGGGTGGATGGGAGAATCGGTTCAGTTTATTATGAAAAAACAAAACAAAAACTGAGCCATGAATGGACAGCTTTACTGTGCATGTCTGTCAAAGCTACCACCAGTACCACTGAACAGAACGGGAAGCTAGGGAAGAAGGCAGGAGACTAGCAGGATCACCAGGTATTTTCAAAGTACATGACAAAATAAGCAGATATAGGAAATAAAGCCATATTTCTCCTGCTGGAGAGAAGCAGCCGATTCCATCTGTAATTTCTGTACTCAGAGAAACCTAAAAAAGGATAAGTTCACTTTTTGTAACAGGTTATATCCATATGCAGGGTGTAACATGTAACAACTGCACTGGCCCCCGCCAGCGAACGTATTCTTAAAAGGATAAGTTCACTTCTCGGGGAAAAAATTAAAAAAATGAAATTATTGTTTTTGCAGGTTAACAGCTTCCATACAGGGCACTTTTACCCCCTTCCTGCCCAGGCCACTTTTCAGGTTTCAGTGCTCTCACACTTTGAATGACAATTGCGTGGTCATACATACTGTACCCAAAATAAAATTTTATCATTTTCTTACTAGAGCTTTCTTTTGGTGGTGTTTAATCACCTCTGGGGTTTTTATTTTTTTCTAAATTAACAAAAAAAAAACATTTTGAAAAAAACACGTTTTTCTTTGTTTCTGTTATAAAGGTTTGCAAATAAATAATTGTTTTTCATAAATTTAGGCCAAAATGTATTCTACTCAGGGTGGATTTGATTTAAATCAAACTGATTTAAATCACTAGTCAGTAAGACTTGATTTAAATCCTAGTTTTCTACATAAAGACTAATTCTTGCTGGTATAACTCTAATATGCAAGTAGATGAAGATTTTTAGAATAACTACTTTTCATATTAGTTTTTTTTATCCCCAGTTTAATAGGTTAATCATTCATATTTGGACAACTTTTCTGTTGTACTTAGGAAGGAGAAAACTAAATCATTACCTTAATAATAACAATTTAAATAGATTTATTCATCTGAAACAATAACATCCATTGTTAACATTTTTATCCACCCCGATTCTACTACATTTCTTTTGTGAAAATAACCCAAATTAGGATGTATTATTTAGTTTGTAGGAAAGTTATAGAGTTCACAAACTACGGGATATATCTGAATATTGATCAATCCTGAAGTACTGACGGTCAATCTAATTTCTTGTCAGAACAGTACAGATATCCCCCAAATGACCCCTTTTTGCAAAGTAGAGAGTCTGACGTATTTCACAAGAGGCATGGCGAGTTTTTTGAAGTTGTAATTTTTTTGTTGTAATTTTTTTGTCATAATTTTTCGGATATGAAGAAATTAAAATTATTTTCACAATTTTTTTTTTCTGTTACATACTGTCACCAGTGCAGTACAGAATCATCATATAACTGATATGGTGGTGATCAGGGACACTGACTGGTGACAGTCCACAAAAAAAAAAAAAAAAAAAAAAAAAAAACTTATAATTTTAATTTTTTATTATTTTTATTACATTTTTTTCTCTTTAAGATTTTTTTTCAGATTTCACTATGACCAAAGTAGTATAATGTTACCATAGTAACATTTTACTACTTTGGGGAAGTGATCAGTATTTTTTTTTTTTTTTTTTTTTTACACAATTTGCTTATAGCAAAGAATTACTTTGCTATAAGCAAACATTTACCTGAATGACATCGATTCATTTAGGGGTTTTATTTGTGCTTAGCTGTGATTTGGCCACAGCTAATCACATGACACAGCTGGGCTGTGATTGGCCCAGCTTGTGCTTGTGTTAGCTGTGACCATTCACAGCTAGACACACTTGTATACAATGGATGGCATGAAAGGAAGCCATCCATTGTATACAACTGTCATGTGACCTGCTGTGATTGGTCACAGCAGGTCACATGATACTGACAACAGGGCCGGTACACAGGTCTGTCATCGGCCGTGTCCGAGGTACACGGCTGGTGACAGATCGTGCTGCTGTGCGGCCCTGTGGGCAGGCGCAATGCATGCCTGGAAGGACGCCATATGGCATCCACTCAGAGGGACGAGCTGTTCGCCCGGCCGCCATCTGGCTATAGGCCAGGCGGCAACTGGTTAAACAACAAAAAAAAAAGTGCATTTATTATTTTCCTTCTAAAAGGAGCCTGCAGAGCATTGCACCTATGATCAGCAGAACACTATCTCAGGATAGTTGTCTGCCCATATGGGTAGGTGGTTACTTGGCAGCAGGAAGAACAATGAACCAGGGACCTCGTAGTTCATTGAAAACTACAAGCCATAATGGCTGACGGTACTTGTAGTTTGTAGTGCCTTGAAAAAGTATTCATACCCCTTGAAATTTTCCAGTTTGCCATGTTACAACCAAAAACGTAAATGTATTTTATATGGATTTTATGTGATAGACCAACACAAAGTGGCACATAATTGTGAAGTGGAAGGAAAATGATAACTGGTTTTCAAAATGTTTTACCAATATCTATCTGAAAAGTGTGGTGTGCATTTGTATTCAGCCCCCCCGAGTCAATACTTTGTAGAACCACCTTTCACTGCAATTACAGCTGCAAGTCTTTTTGGGTATGTCTCTACCAGCTTTGCACATCTAGAGTGTGATATGTTTGCCCATTCTTCTTTGCAATATAGCTCAAGCTGTCAGATTAGATGGAGAGCATCTGAACAGCAATTTTCAAGTCTTGCCACAGATTCTCAATTGGATTTAGGTCTGAAATTTGACTGGGCCATTCAAACACATGGATGAATATGCTTTCATTGAAACCATTCCATTGTAGCTCTGGCTGTATGTTTAGGGACGTTGTCCTGCAGGAAGGTCTTGTCTTTTGCAGACTAACAGGTTTTCTTCTAAGATTGTCCTGTAATTTGGCTCCATCCATCTTCCCATTAAGTCTGACCAGCTTCCCTGTCCCTGCTGAAGAAAAGCATCCCCACATGATGCTGCCACCACGTTTCACGGTGGAGATGGTGTGTTCAGGGTAATGTGCAGTGTTAGTTTTCCGCCACACATAGCATTTTGCTTTTAGGCCAAAAAAATTAAATTTTGGTCTCATCTGACCAGAGCACCTTTTTCCACGTTTTCTGTGTCCCCCACATGGCTTCTTGCAAACAGGACTTCTTTCAACAATGGCTTTCTTCTTGACACTCTTCCACAAAGGCCAGATTTATGGAGTGCACAACTAATAGTTGTCCTGTAGACAGATTCTCCCACCTGAGCTGTGGATCTCTGCAGCTCCTCCAGAGTTACCATGGGCCTCTTGGCTGCTTCTCTGATTAATGCTCTCCTTGCCCAGCCTGTCAGTTTAGGTGGCCGGCCATGTTTTGGTAGGTTTGCAGTTGTGCCATACTCTTTCCCATTTTCAGATGATGGATGGATTGAACAGTGCTCCATGAGATGTTTAAAGCTTGGGATATTGTTTAATAACCTAACCCTGCTTTAAACTTCTCAACAACTTTAGCCCTGATCAGTCTGGTGTGTTCTTTGACCTTAATTGTGCGGTTTGTTCACCAATGTTCTCTAACAAACCTCTGAGAACTTCACAGAACAGCTGTATTTATACAGAGATTAAAATTACACACAGGTGGACTCTAATTTACCAATTAGGTGACTTCTGAAGGCAATTGGTTCCACTAGATTTTAGTTAGGGGTATCAGAATAAAAGGGAGCTGAATACAAATGTACGCCACACTTTTCAGATATTTGTAAAAACATTTTGAAAACCATTTCTCATTTTTCTTCCACTTCACAATTATGTACCACTTTGTGTTGGTCTATCACATAAAATCCCAATGAAATACATTTATTGGTGGTGCACCGAAATGAAAATTCTGGTGTCGAAAGCGAAAATTCAAAATGCACTTGGCCGAAAATCGAATATATATTTTTGGAAAAAAAATACACCGATTAAAAAAATAAATAAATAAATAATATACCCCAATTTCCCACTGCCGCCACCGGCCGCTGCTCGGTAGTTCAGCCTTACCCTGAGAAACCATCGATCCCGGCGCTGGGCATAGAGATGAGTGAAGGAAAGATGGCCACCACACATCTC